GGGGGAGACGCTGACTGACTCGGGACCGACATCCAATGACTTGACTGACTGGTGCTTCTGACAATCTTCTTATGCTTTATCTATTCCATTGCAAGAGGAGAGTCTCTGTTCTCTGATCTCTGTTCTCTGTTTCCCTAACTACAAGATTATGTGTTTAAATACTACTCTATTCAGAATAATTGTAATATTAAATGATCCTTTAAATTGGAATGGTTTGTCTGAATTAATTTAGTCGGTATCACACTCTAGCCACGACACATGTCCAATAATTTCATAGACACCACTACATCAGCACAAGCGAAGGCCATCCTGTTGACTAGAAATCACTGGTACACTTAAATATACTCAGTGGCAACAAGATGGCCCAGGCCTCCTGTTTGCTTGCAGATACCAAGATGGCTGTCATTCTTATCCCTGTTCAGCTACATTAGTTGTTCTGTTGCCATGAAATATCAGAAGACATATCACAACATACAAGGTACCTTTCTACCCTCCCTCACTGTCCGGCTAGGATTATATTGAAAACAACAATATTATATTAAGCTAACTATAAGCTTTATCAAAAAGGAAAGCCTTAAGTTTAATCTTAAAGGTAGAGAGGGTGTCCGCCTCCTGAACTGAGACTGGGAGCTGGTTTCATAGGAGAGGAGCTTGATAGCTAAAGGCTCTGCCTCCCATTCTACTTCTGTGGATTCTAGGAACAAGTAGACCCTCACTCTGAGAACGAAGTGCTCTGTTGGGATGATAAGGCTTTATGAGGTCTTTAAGATACAGTGGAACCTTGTTATTAAGGGCTTTGTGTGTTAGGATTTTAAATTCTGTTCTTGATTTTACAGGGAGCCAGTGGAGAGAAGCTAATATGGGAAAAATATGATCTCTCTTGCTGTCATTTGGTATGTTTTAACAATGAACAGCATTAATAAACTCAGGCTGTAATGAGTTTAAAAAGCAGTATTGCCATCTCCTCTTGCACATTAAATTGAATCTGTGTTATTTTTAGGCTGCTGAAAACAAATGTCATTGCTGATACATTTCCAGTGTAAAAGGAGTGCCAACAGGGGAGCCAATCCCAGCTGACATTTAGAAAGAGGAAGGGTACACCCTGGACAAGTCACCAGTCTATCTCAGGGCTGACATACTGTATATACAAACAACCACACACACTCACACTCACTCCTACGGGCAATTTAGAGTCACAAGTCAACCTAATCTGCATGTCTTTGTACTGTAGGAGGAAGCCGGAGTACACAGAAAGAACCCACTCAGGCACAGGGAGAACATGCAAACTCCACACAGAAAGGCCCTATTGCTGTGAGGTGACAGCGCTAACCATGGTTCCACCATGCTTCCAATCTTTATGTGAAGCTAGGCTAAACATGTCGAGATTCATGTTCTATATTTTAGGCACAGGCATGTTGAACTTTTTTTTTTACTCCAAACATACTGCCCATAAATGTGAACGGCTGTAAGTGTGATAGATTAGCAGGACGTGACAGAACAGATGGATGGGTGGGTCTCATTAAATCCATTGTTTTTTTTATGTAACCGGAAGTATTGCACACTCAAAATGAATGATGCGTGGGCCTCTTCTGTGGTAAAGTTACTTATTAGCTAAAACAGCCAAGACCAACACAGTTATAAGAGGAAGGCATGAAGGTGCACAACTTACTGTCTCTAGACACACACTCTGCACCTAAAGTGTGGAGGTAGCACAGGAAACAGATCTACACACAGTATAATCTTTTTGAGTGTAAACATGCGAGACTGACACAGTAAAACTGGAGTGATGCCAACATCTGTGTAAGGCTGGACTTCTGACATTCACACAAAGGTACAGTAAAAGTGTGAAAATTAATTTGTCTTCTGTATATTGTGTAGGTACAGTAGTACTCTCGGATTAGGTCAAACACAAATATGTTCAGACATCTGAACACATGAAATGTATGAATGTATTGTCTTGTATTGTACATCATGTTTTCCTGTAGCACTAATGCTGTCAATTTTGTCTCTCTCTCTCTCTCTCTCAGGTGTTTTTACTTGCCACTTCTTGCCCCTTTACACCTATTTCACTGTCAGCAACTTCTCTGTTTTGGACCGCTCTTTTTCCTGATGTGGCAACTCATTGTGAACTAATTTCACACACGGGGGGAGATAAATAACCAAACAAGTCCCTTCCTTCCATTCAGTTAAGGTGGCAACAGCAGTATAACAAAGAAAGAGCTAGTGAAGGACAGAGCTGAAAAGAGGAGGAGAGAGGAGCTGAGCGAGGTTTTGAGATAGTACCTATCCAAATTTGTTCTTTTATCTTCATCCTGCTGATCAACCTTCATCATGACCACCAGACACACAGTCCAGCTCCTGGTGGCGGTGGTCCTCTCAGTGCTGTGCCTCGTTCAAAGCTTCCAACCACTCATCTCAAGAAAATCCAGGACTCACCGTGAAATTACACAAGCGGCGATCCTCAGAAAGACGGCTGACGTCTGCAGGGACATTGCTGCCTCTGAGGGATGGAGCACCAGTGTAGCTGTAAGTTGACATTCAAAAGTGTAGATATGGGTTTTTTGTTTTTGTTTTTTTTTTGGGGGGGGGGGCTTTACAGACAAAATGTTTTCCATAATATATCATTTTATTGAAGCAGCAAATAAACATGGCCACAATAATTTGCACTTGTGCAGGTTTTTCCTCAGAAGAAACACATGAATAAAAGTGTCTATTTTATTAAACACTTCTTTATCTTTCAGTTAAATAGTTCTAAGTACAAAGACAACTTGAAGCAGGGACATTAGTGTTTGTATTTTAAACATGCATTTGCCAGCATGGAGTTACTGTCTTTTTTGTGTGTCCAGGTTGATGACAGCCTGTCAGCTAGCAAGGTGCAAAAAGCCTGCTCCTCTCCAACTACAGCAGCGTTCCTCCTCTCCAGTGTCACATACCAAAGTGCCATTGCCAGTATCTACTTCAGCAATGCGATGGTGGACACAGTGTCAACACTGAAACAGGAACACCATTTTGACAATGAGACTTTCAAGGCAGGAAGGGACCTCATCACAGCAGGTACTCTCAATATCATGTTCTGTAAATAGAGAACCCACATGCTAACAGACAAGGAGGTATACAAATGTAGGCATTCAAAGTGTTATACTTTTTCACTGCGTTACATTTGCAGTGCCCTATATGTGGTGCTATGCCAATAATGCAGTGTTTTTAACCCTGCATGAGGCTCATAAAATCCAACCTGCAGTTCTTCTTTTGGCCACTAGGCATATAGGGTTTTGAGTTGTCAAACCATAGTATATTACAGGCTGTATAAGCAGGGTTTCACGTCTGTAGTCAAAGATATACTGCATTAAACATGATTAACACAGCACCGTAAGTTACCGGCATACATTAGTGAACATCATGTACAGTGTGCTGCAATGAACACTACAGCTGTGAGTGTGGCTCCAGGGCATGTGCCAAAGTTTTTGGCCATTTTGTTTCCTCAGGGCACTATGTACAGCTGATTACTCACAGGTGAACAACTGAACAACTCCACATAGAGTTGTAGGAGCAGGGGAAGGGGAGGTGTGTATTGCAATGAGAGAGAGAGAGAGATAGAGAGATAGAGGTCGTTTTTACACTGAGATCCTGCATCACTGCCGTTCTAAAGGGTCACCAATATCCCGCCCTTGTGCTGTTCATACAGATCAAGCTATTATACTTTGACAAGTGAATGACAATTTAATTATACAGTAGTCATAATAACGTCAGGATGAGCAGATGACTAGTGAACGACGATGGTCTGACAGTGAGTGACTGTAAAGTGCTGGCTTATATACTGCGAGGCAGGTCTTGGGCAGAACAGATGGTAAGATGAGGAAGGAGTCTAGGGTTCTGACTATACAGGGAAAACAAGGGGTGACAAGACAAAGACTGAGATCATAACACTTCAAATGTTGCATTCCTACATTAAATATATCGCAAAACATCAAATAAATAATTTTTTCAGGAATATTTTCCAGAAATTGACTATAACACAGATCTTCAAATACAGTATCAATTATAGAAATAGAAATATCTCATTGTCGGTTTCTCTGCAAAAATGTTTAGAAATAGAAAGTCTAAATGAACTAATTGCAGTCACCAGAAACACACAAGGCTTTCTTTTTTTTTTTTTTTCTTTTTTTTTACATATGATGTATTTGACAGACTATTTCTTCAGTTGCAAAGGGAGTGTCATTTCATATTTATTAATCGATCCACTGATAAGAAAATATTCTGGTGTCTTATATGTTGGGAAACAGGCTCAGGCCAAGAATTTATTTACTTTCAGTAAGGGGACATTCACTTTTCTGTCTGCTTTGTGTCGTTCATATCTTGTGAAGTGGAGCTTCAGTTTACACTAACTCCCGTTGTGTATTCTCCTGTTGAGGTGTGGCTGCTGTGAAGGCCAGTGTGAAGCAGGAGGAGTATATGGCAGGGAGATGGATTCTTGGACGAGTCTGTCATACCCTTCAGGTGAGGTTAATGACTATTTTGTTAGCAGTTTTGTTGGGGTGGATGGTAAAGTTACACTGTTTAAAATAATAAGCAATGGACTTGGTGGACATAAGAGAGAATGGTGGTTTTATAAATAATCTTTATATTGTGTATATGAAGGACTTCTACAGCCACAGCAACTGGGTGGAGTTGGGGAACACTGCTCCTTACAGTGCTCTAATCAAACCAGACCAACCTCTTGAGAACTTGGCAGGTAGGATACTGCCGTCTGGGTGTGGTGTGAAATATATGGTTTCAACAGCAACTCTTGTCCATGAAATTGCTGCTTGGTCAGAATGCATTCACACATTGTCACCTGCTACAGTGTAACTCACAACTCATACATAAAATTGATACATTTCTACTCAGTATTGTTGGCTCATTTCATTCAGCACACAGGTCTACAGTTCAGAAGCCTCTTTGCTTTGCCCATCCAAGAACATTTCTACGTTATAGGCCTGTTTTAAAAAGCATTAAAAGATGATTATTCACACTGGTTTGTGGACTCTGAATAGATTTATTGCCTCTCTGACAAATAAAGACAATGACACATTTTGATTCCAAAAGAGAATATGGGCTGATGCATACAACAAAGAGATGGTGTCCTGAGCTGAGGTATGAATAAGTGCTTTGGATAAACAAAGAATGCGTGGTACTGCCTGAGACACAATACCAGAATAATGTTTCACCTAAAAAGCTTGTTGTATCAAAAGCCAATCGTTTTATTATTAGGTCCAACAAGAGCTTTGATCATAGTTTCTGGTTTTCCTCTGAGATCTTTCCTTCAGTAATCTGACACAGTTTGGTCACTTTCATAAATTCATACACTGCCAATATCATATCTTACAAACCACAACTGATTAAGAATTTTGTTTTCAGTGCTGCAGAATTAGCAAAAATTAATTAGTTTTTGTTTCTGAATCGTTTTGGTCATGGACCAGTGTAATTTGTAAAGTCATGTAAAACTGATTTATTTCTTTTAATATATGCTATACCATATTTGTATATAAATTACCCATGCCATTGTGTTTATTATTGTTTAATGTGCTAAAATTGCTGCAGACCCAGTTACTCCAACCTGTAGAGGCTGTGTAGGAGGTGACTGTAGTAACAACCTTCTGCCTGAGGTACTGAAGAAACGGCTTCTCACTTCGGGCTACTTCAGCATGTTCTCATCATCAAAACCTGCAGGTAATATTTAAGGATCACATTCATTTGTGTTTTGTTGCGCAATTAACATTTTTTGAGGTTATATATAGGTAACGTAACAAAAACGTTCTCTCTGTTCTAAGGTAAATGTAGCCATGGTGGTCCATTTGACCGCACAAGTGAACAGGACCCAGTGGGGGGCATCAGTAAGGATGAGGTTCAGTCTAGTCATGGCTCGCTTCATCTTAAAGCAGCTGATTTGGCTGTCAGGGCCACTGTGGAGCTGTTGGAGGACATCAGAGTGGCTGCTGGAGACAAACACTTTCTGCGGTAGGGATCAAATCCATCTGAGCCATTTTGAGGAAGAGGTAAATAAACATCACCAGTTTAGAAAAGATGTAGGGTTTTGACACTGAATGCAAGCAAAGAATAAGAACATGTCTCCATGTCTCTGGCTTCATACAGAAATAAAATAGTTATCATATGTGTGCTAGACTATAACACTTTCACTTCACTGAACTGTTTCTAAATACTTTGTGCTAAGCAGCTACAGCAGCTACACTAATTACGGTCAAATGGTAGTCACCGATCACTGATTAGTGACAGGTCATCAGAGTAACCCAGCTAAGAAACACAGTAACAAAATGAAAAAATAATTGTTTTTTTTTTTTTTTGCTCTCTTGTTCCTGCAGATTGATGGGCCTGTCCCACTCCTCTGTGCTGTGTATTGTTATTGACACTACAGGCAGCATGAGTGATGACATCGCTGAAGCAAAGAGAGTTTCCTTTGAGATCATTGATGGCAAGCGAGGAACCCCACAGGAGCCCTCGGCCTACATATTGGTACCATTCAATGACCCAAGTGGGTAACTCACAATGAAGTATTTGTAGCTTATGGCAGAGGAATGTATGTATGAAGTAATGTCTAGCTTCTGCGTAAAACATGAATATATCAAAACAAATACTGGAAAACATCACATTTTTTACCATTGTAAACTGTTACTGTAACTGTAATGTAGGCCTTTCTCTTCAGTAAGAGTATAAATCGGTGAGTGATTAATATTAGTCATGTTTTCTATATGCAGGTTTTGGACCTGTGATTAGGACAACTGATGCAGATGTCTTTAAAAACAGCATCAACAAGCTGCATGCACGTGATGGAGGAGACGCCCCAGAGATGTCCTTGTCTGCACTGCAGGTGTTGACAATGCAATTAACTGCTTTCCTCTTTTATACAATAACTCCTTTTATGTGGGAATCATTAATTCATTTGTTTTTTCCTTGTCAGTGCACCTTGACAGTGGGTGAAGTCGGGCCAGAACTTTCTGCTATATTGCAATCATTAATTCAGACAACGTTTTTTTTTTTTTATCGCACAACTCAAATTAAAGTCATTTTATCAGTAAAACATTAAAATTATTGGCCAACCATACCAATTATTAAATGCACTCATGTACAGTATAATTAACATAAATGCAAATCAAGAAATCTTGTTTCATTCTAATCAAGCATACAGTATTTTAAGCAGAATCGTTTTAGTCTACTGGCTTGTAAACTGTTCTTCCTCTGTTTTATATAATTGACAGCTTGCCCTCACTGCAGCTCCACCCTCCTCTGAGATCTTTGTTTTCACTGATGCTGCAGCTAAAGATTTTCATCTAAAAAGCACCATTACTGCTCTTATAGAAAGCACCAAGTCTGTAGTAAGTCTTTTTGCCAGCTTTAATACATTCCAGAAATATTAAACTGGTATGATTTTTTTTTTGTTGTTGTTGGGGGCTTATATATCATGTAACCAGTTTTAATATACAATTCAAAATCAGAAAAAGTTGGGATGGTCTGTAAAATAAAAGTTAAAACTGAAAATAGTGACTTGTAAATCATCTGTCCTGTATTACACTGCTAACAATACAGCAGTACATTATTTAATGTGAGGTATCCCATAAAATAATGTGCTGCTGTATTGTTTTCAATGTAATACAGGGTGAAGATGATTTCGACATCACTATTTTCAGTTTTAATTTTGATTATACATACTGTCCCAACTTTTTTTTGATTTGGGGGTGTAATTTTCACAACCATTTTCTCTTTATCCTTATACTTTTAGGTTAGTTTCATGTTGACAGATGCCCTAGCTAGTCGACGCCGCCGCAAAAGGTCATCTGCAAACAAAATGAGCCAAGCAGATGTCCAGCTGTATCGCGACCTAGCCGAAGCATCTGGAGGCCAGGCCATTGAGGTCACCAAGTCAGAGCTCTCTCAGGCTACTACTGTTATAAAGGATTTGTCACTCAGCGCTGTGGTAAGACAAGAAATAAGAAAATCATACTGAAGATTGAAGATGGTACTGTACAGTATGGCTTTAAATGTGACGTTTCTGTTCCTTCCTCTTTTAGGTGACAGTTTTTCAGGTAGCGAGAAATCCTGGAAGACCTGAAAAATTTACTTTTACTGTTGATGGTTCATTAAGGAACTTGACTGCCTACATCACAGGAACCTCATCTCTCACCTTCAGCCTCACCAGCTCCAAAGGTGTTGTAATTGTTAATGTCTGGTTCTGATTGCTCCATTTGCCTTTTTTTGCCTTCAGTATCTGCTTTTGAAGATAGCTTCAGATTTGTTTGAGGTACTAGACAAATGTTTTTAACATTTTTGTCTCCACCAGGCATATCTCAGAGTTCCAGTCAGCCCAGTGGTCCTCTGGCATCTCTCACTACAGCAGGAAACCTACGCCGTTTAAGCCTCATCACCGACAGTCAAAGTGGATCATGGGAAATCAGCGTCAACTCTAATGATCCCTACTCTGTTAAGGTCATAGGTCAGTAGTGTGATGGTCAGGGTGTTAACATAATTGTTCACCTATAGCTAGTGAGAGTTACATTTTACTGAAGACTATTTCTGTTATATTTGCAGTTTATATTGTAAACACACTGTGTTATTTGTGTGTACATCAGGTCAAAGTTCATCAAACTTCATTTACAACCTGGTGGAAGCACATGAAGGAGCCCACAGAGACTTCAGTTTAAAGGAGGGGCGTCCTCTTTCAGGTCAGACGACGTTTACAATTATTATTTCTTTGTCATTACAGTTGTGTACCATAGTCGTGTTTCAGAAACCCTCTGTCTTATTTATATGCATTGTCCATTATGCTCATATCTAATTACCTTTTACAGTAATACTCATCTAATCTCCCTTTCACACTTGTCACAACTTCCAGGTGGTAAAGCCAAACTCTTGGTCTCTGCGACAGGAAGTGATACAGTAAAGGTCACAGAGGTGACTCTCATTGACAGCTTCGGGACAAAAGAGGTCAAAGGCTCATTGCAGGCATGTCAGATGTTACACTTGATAAACGTATAACACCATACCCAGTAGCTGAAGTGTATACAGTACGTCACATTACTGCTTACCAGTCTCCAGACAATACATATATATACATACATATAGATAGATAGATGGATACTGGTAAGCAGTAATGTGAGGTACTGTATACACTTCAGCTTCAGAAGCTGTGTCAACATGCTTTCCAACATTTTGAATATTAGAATGTCCCTAAATGCACCACCAGAGTCTAAAATTGTTGTAACTTTGACCCCCCAACCCCCACCAAAAAACCCGACAGCTAGTTGATTACTCTAGTGTGTTATACCTGTCTACAGGAAGTTTTAAGTCTCTAAAAGTTGATTTTCATACAGTGCTGTCTTGAAATAAAGAGAGGTCACAGGAAATAAGACCTGAACTGGCTAAAATGCTGCAACGCATCAACATAAACCTTCTCAATTTCATAAATCTCTCTTTTCTGTATTTTTTGGCACCCCTTTGTTCCTCTTTGTCTTATTACTGAGCCACTTGGAAAGAGTTTTGACATCATTTGAAAAGTCTGCCTGTCTGGAACTAGAAAATCTGTTTAGAATTGAGGAGGTTTTGGATGGGTAGCAATAACATAACTAACATATTGTGTAGTTAATGCACTGCCACAAAATTTCAAGTGTAATGAGAAGTTTATAAAAAAAAGTTGTCTGCCTAAATCACAAAGCAAGGTAGCCACAAACATTATTTGGGCTGATGAGACCTCACATTAAAATATACTGTGTGACTGTGAGTGCTCTTCTTTTTCTGTCCTCAGCCAGTAGGAAGTGATAACGTCCTGGTGACATTCAGTGCAGTGCCAGCAGGTCAATTTGTGGTTTGCCTGAAAGGAGAGGACAGCGGCTCAACCTCCACATCAACATCGATAAGCTTCCAGCGGCAGGCCTCGACACACATCAAGACCTCCAGCATCCTTGTTACTGTGAGCATCAACTTTCTGCCTCAGTGAAGTAGCACTTTGCTTTAGCACTTACTGTATAAAGTAAAAACATTTAATGGGTTTTTATGATAACAGGCCAAACTGGTAAAATGAACGTATATCTTCTTATAGTCAAACGAATAGTAGCCAAGGTTGTTATTAAGAAACAGCATGACTTTCTACTGTGCTTCTTTCAGCTCCATGTTCATATCAGCATCCATCAATGTATTACAGCTGTGTCTCCATCCACTATTCCAGGCCCAAGTCAGCAACACCAACGTAGAACCAGGCTCCACCATCTCCATCCCTTTTACGGTCGCCACAGCCATCAACGGAGTTATTGATGACTCTGGAACTGGCACGTTCAAGATGCAAGTCAGCAATGACCGCGGCTATCGTTCCACTTCACCCCCTGCCATCACCATAGCGGCAAGGAGTGGAGGTAAAGCCGACGGCACTGTGACCTTAACGGTACCAGCCAGTGCTGCATCAGGAACAGAAGTGATTCTTACCATTGCGGCAGAAAATGCAGCTGCTGCTGACATCAACTACGTTGTACTCAGGTTTTCTGTGGTTGCCAAGGTGAGAGAAAAAAGTGCTTTGGTGAATAGTCTTTAACATGAAAACTACATTTCCCAAGATAACTTTATTTATTTTCTTTGATCTGATGATGTTAGTGGTGCTTTTTGTTCGCAAAAGGTATACGCATGTGCCTTATTGTGTCATAACAAGTACTGATGTTAAAAAGCAGTTCATAGTTGATTAAATTAATTGCCCAAATGTTGTTCTTGTTCTTTTTATGATGCCCAAATGTTGTTCTTGTTCTTTTTATGATTCTGGTTATCATTCCTGTCTTATTTCATCATCTGTTTGTGTGTCCAGGTGACAGATATTACCAGTCCTGTGTGCCAGGTTGTCAATGCATCAAACACCTGTCCATCCTCTCCATCACTTTGTGCTTCCTCTCAGTGGGAGCTAATCGCTAATCTCACCGATGGCATCGATGGGACTGGCATTGAAAGGGTCACCATCCTTCGAGGGAATGGTACCCTCACTACTGGCACAGTGGCTGGAGCAAGAGGCGAGAACATTATAGTGGCCACGTACCGCGCCTCCTGCTGCTCACAGAATGTTCTGCTGGCTGCTGTGGACAGAGTAGGGAATGTGGGAGTATGTGGGAGAGAAACTGCCACATCCACTGGAGGACACACACTGAGCCTCTCATTCTCACTCTGGATCAGTGGTGTGATTTTTCTGCTCTTGACGTAAAAGACAGATGTAAATCCCACTTTAAATACAGTGCATGAATCAATTTTTTCTTTTATTTTCCTCTGCTGATATCTTTAATGATGAGTTTGTCATTTCATAAAATCCAGGTTTACAAACAATTTTCTGTGTGCAGTTCTTTAAAATGTATTTAAAGATTGTTGGATATGGGTACATAGATGGCCTGACAAATGTGGATCACGTTACCTTCACGTGTGAGGTTTTTAGAGTATTTTCTTGCTCTCACATTCACAGTATATGCTCTGTTTAATGACAAGTGAAATACTTGAACATTTGGCTTTTCGGGCTTTTTTCCAAAGTGTTAACATTGCTCATTACCCCTTGTTTGGAGTTTTAATTAAATACACATCTTAATGTGGAATATTCCAGTGTCATGTGGCATTATTTTTTACTCAGAACATGTATTGCATTATAAATATTGTTTTACAATTAGTAAAATATTTTATTAAGATAGCTAATAACCTATTAGCTAGCAATTAGCTAGCTCAGTACAAAATCCTACCACCACCAAACACCAAATCATGCACAGCAAGCAACATTCAGTGGGGAAAATAGAATAAATGAATGTATTAAATTAATGTTATGAAAAAACGTTCTCACAATACAGACATTGAAAAATCTCCTACCTTTTCCCATTAATACATCCGTGGGAAGAATGATCTCCATCTTGTGATTCGGTATCCAGCTGGTATAATATATTAATGGGACGTACAAGCATTGAATTTAGTTTATTGACATAATCGGTCCTATTGGTATTTGTGTCTGGTTTGGAACCATGAAGATAAATGAGAACACTCTACTGGAGGGACACAAAGTTGGTTCCTTACAATACAAACCACGTGCCCAGGTAACGTTAACATTAACACCTGGTCTTGTTAAACACGCGAAGCCTGTCACTTTTTTCTTTTATTTTCCTCTGCTGATATCTTTAGTGATGAGTGTTTGAATGTCATTTCTTTACTATCAATATTTAAACATGGCAAATGGGTTTTATTTAGACTTCTAAATAAGTCTGAAACTAATAATACTGTTGAGAAAACAACCTCATCACATGTTCCATTTAGTAGCTTTTCTGGAACATTCAATCGTTTCACAGTCTCATTTGTCATGGAGCTTTTGAAAGCTTTTTGTCCATGCTGGCACAAGGTGAAGAAATAACTTAGACAGATGACACATCTAACCCAGCTATCAATACAAGCTTTTGATCCTTTGACAGTTTGAAGTCTGGCACAGCAGAACCAGCTCCAGTCCTTTGGCATCTGGATACATGATTAAGTTAAAGCTGTAGAAACCTGCAGTCCCTGTGTCATATCCACCTGTTTATACTCTTCAGGTATCATGTTCCTGACAGACCCAAAAGACCTCTCCTCGGCTGAGCTGGACATCATGAGAGCAGGTGATGCCCAGTGTGCTTATCTTAAAACTGATTCAAAATCAAAGGCTGAGCAAATATCTACAGTCAGTCTGTGCTGTGGTTTGTACATCTCAATCGTTTCCTGTGTATATCTCTTTATATCTGGACACTATATTCCTATTGTTTTCTACAGAGCCCAGTTACAGAGGCACTGGGAAGGAGGTGACACACGATGATGCGTTACGATGAGCATCTCATCCCACCTTTCAGAAGGTTTCAAGCAGGAAGACAGAAGCTTAAAGTCACTGTGTAGAAGTTGCAAATTTCCACACCTCTTGAATTACTGTCCATTTTTCTGCAATTCAGTCTTGTGCTGTGTTCATCATTAGTTGGGGAATCAACCTGTGGTGAAGCAGGAAAAATAATAAATGTTAAATCGCCATGAGAATGCAGACAGCAGCGGATGAGATTAATGCAAGTGTATGGCTTGTTGTAAGATGACTTGCAGAAAAAACAACTTTTAAATTGTATTTTATTTTTGTGTGACTGTCAGGAAAAGTAAACTGCTCCTAACATTCAATACTATCCTATGTTGACTAAAAATAATGGGGCAGATACATCACTCGCTTCTGATTCCTAAAACTACATTTGACAAAGTAAGCTGCATTGCTAGACTTGCCAAAGCAGCTGAAAACTGTAAATTCTTACATGTATCTCTGTACGGTGTTTATTTGAAACTCCTCTTTAGTCATACTACATTTTAGTGGTTTTAGATTTTATTTAAAAAATAAATGATAAGAATAAGCCACAGTTTTGCCTAAAAGCCTAAAACATGTCTTGTAACTTTTCTTTTTTCTGTTCCTTCTCCTCAGCACACAGTAAGGCTGCCCTTTAGTGGTGGCACACAGCATTACACCAGTCTTAACAAGTGTGACCCATTACTGCTGGCTGGTCAAATAAATGGCAATTTAATGGTACAAATAGTAATGTATGTACATGGTCACAATTTTTGTGAGCATGTGTAGGAAAGATTTGTACATATAAACACTTTTGAATGTGTGAATAAAATCTGTAAACAAATTATGTTACACAAAGACACTGAAAACAAGTGTGTTTGGGAACATCTGTGTACAGACAGAAAAGAAAATTGCACATTCAACTAACTTTAGGAGTACTGAGGTTTTCATAGTATTATAACATAGTAGTACTGTCAGAAGTACTTGAAATGAGTGTAGAGGTACTGAATGGGCTAGTACTGACAGGGATACTGCAGCGACAGGAGCAGGTGGATACTGACACAGCATCCACACAATAAACACTGTCAGCGAGACAGCAGGATATATTACATCTTAGAAAAAACCTGAGAGAAAATTCATGTTTTGCACTACATTTCAGTCAGCTACATTTACTAATTAAGAAGTTATGTGAAACATAATGAATGATAACACCGTTCCAATAGCTAGTAAAGTTTATTTGTCTCTTTCAGAAAAAGTAAAACAATAATTACAACAAAGAACCAAAAACCTCAAAGGGCAGTAAAAACATAACAAGTACAATAACATTTTAAGTGGAAGAACTAAGAGCAACTTCCAGCAGCCGAACAAGAACGGCACTTCCGGGGTCAGTTTCACAAAGCAGATTTAATGACGAAAGCTGCATATATATATATATGTATATATATATACATATATATATATATATATGTATATATAAACCTCACCTGATCTCTGACACAGACTAACCTGCTCCTGGTTTAATCCATTGGAGCTCTCCAGCAACCTCAGTGATCTTGTTTGATGACAGAGGTCCTAGTTATCATGAGACAGCGCAACAGCCTGGCCAAGTGCAAACTGCATCAGGAGGAGGTGGGGAGAAATAAAGAGCTTGGTCCTGTTATCCAAAGAAATAACTATGAACTAATTTATCTTTGCCTTCAAGCAGTACAGCAACCACAAAATCAAAGTACATAAGTTTACTACAGAAAAGGAAAACCAGAAAAACCAATCACCTCTGAATTAACATGGCACATAAATGTCAAAGCAACCACCCACTAAAAAGAAAAGCTTCATTTTGTTTCACAACTGCTATAAACAACTTTGCCCTGCAGGGTCATCAAAAGAAAATGGAGAGTTAAAAGTGCACCACTACAATGAGGGGCCTTGATACTCAATTGACAAGAGTAAACTTAGCTGAATTCAGTATCCTCACTAGGTTACAATGACATCATTAATACAGACACAACTTACTCCTAGATTAAAACAGATCTTTCATTCTGTCTGTGAAGATGTCACTGTCATTATCGCCCAAACACTACAGTTTTTACCACAGTCATGTCACATCAGCAATGCAACTTGGAACAGTTTTAATGTAAGAAATCTGTTACATTACTTACAACAGTATATACAATATCTAATGGTTACTCTTTTAAACAGAGCAGAGCTTAATGTTACACAACTGGACATTTTGCATTATTTTTAACAGCCCATAGATCACTGGATCTCTGTGTCCCTGACAAGAGAGATGGTCAATACCAGAGAAGCAAGTATGAATAATCTATACAATAATCAATACAGAGAGCCAGTAACTGGTATATTTATCCTCAAAATACAGAGACAAAAGCTACAGCTACAGATAAATAGCTACAGTTGGTTTTGTTTTTTAACAAAAGCAAGTGAGAAACTGTACATAATATTAACAATATTTTATGGCAAAACCACTGAGGTCTCTCTATTTGACCTGCTCTATTTGAAGTCACTGTGCTGTATTACAGGGCACTGGTCCAAAAAAAACCCAACAACAGTGTAATGTAACACTCCTTCACTAACAAATAAGGTGTCAAGGACTGGCAAGTACAAAATGCATTTGCGCCTTAAAGTTAGAAGCAATTGATTAAAATAGGGGAACATAAATGTATTAATTTTCTAAAATACAGTAAGACGTTAGCCCTGATTCTTGAAAATCTAATTATGTTGTTTGATATGATTGATTTGATCTGATTCTGTTACAGTTCAGCTGTGGCACTGTAGCCTGTTTTTACTCTTGGTTAAATGCAACATTTGGGATAGAAAACAGGAAAGGAAATGCAACACAATTTTGTGTTTCTATAGCTGAAATGTAAGAGAGTTTGGTTTACACATAGCTAATGCTGAAGTTGTTGCATGCAGAGGCACTGAGTTTAAAAAGCATTGTAGGCCTACAGTATATTCTCTGGGCATGCTTATATTTCACTCGATCTGCTTTTTCTATAATACAAATTTTAAAAGGAGCTTCACTGTTCACCAAATATACAGCCCCAATCAACTGATTTACAGTACAGTATATACATATATTCTTCACATAATAGGTTGTGAAATATTTCATGCAGCATATAAAAATCCTTTCTTTGAATAATATCATTGTATTGAAAACGGGGGGTTTCCATTACAGAATAACTTTCTATCTTTATGTATTTCATTCTCATTTAGGGTTTCAGATGAAAATTACTAGTACACGCCCAGTGCAAACAATGGGTCACTGCAATGAATGTGCCTGTTTCAAAACTTTTTTTTACTTCCCCCAAAGCACTGGCTCAGTATTACCAAATCAAACTTATCAGCACTTCTGTGATGTGCAGCTAACAAAGCACACACTCAAGTCAGCTTGATGCAAGTGCCCTTCTCCTCAAATCAACCTTTTTCTTCTTATCTCCACTGTGTACAAAGATCAGTCACTGCTAAAAACTCCCCAAAATGGCCTTGTTCCTACATATGACATTAAAGTGATTTGCTGATTTGATAAAACTGGATCACGTTTATGTCACAGGAGACGTAAAGTCCAGCATTAGTTTCAGGTAACACTTAAGTATGTTTTTTGTTGTACTGACCTCTCAGTCAGCTCAATTAAGATACTGTATATGCTGAAGAAAACTTCAACACATACAGTTTTAGACTCATTAAACTGTCATGCGAAAACCACAAGTGCATATACAGTATAACAACAGCTTATCCTAAAACCTTACTGCTAATATTCAAATGCTCCAAGGTTTCTGATGTGTAAACATTCCAAGGGTTAGGTAGACTGGTATAGTGCATATAATAGTTGTATTGTGATATCCATGGAGGTATAAAATGTGGCTTATTGGGAATAAGCAGGGGTAGAGACATACAGTTTTATCCCTGCCTTTGGAGCATGAGCCAAGTAGAGCCTGGGAGACCTGAGGTGTAAACCCTGTGATTGTACTTATCTTGCATCTGTTGTTTAATTAGAGTTTGGAATGGAAAAGGATGGGTGCAATCACCACTGGCCAATTTGGACAGCTCAGGACACAGTTATCACAGTACTTGGCTGTCCTTCTGTGTGTGTTAGTCATATTAGGTCTACTATGCTACTACTACTTTGGGTTAATGATTTCATTTCCAATTTAACAAATACAGCAATTTTACAGGCTGAAAAAGAACAATATTCCTCAATTTCTGCACATTGTCCAAACTAATAAACACCACTGGCTCTGTGGTGCTAAGGCAACTACTTTATAGTTCATTAGCTTGAAAGCAATCAAATAATTTGATTGACGTTGATTGATTGAAAGATAACTAAGGAAACAACAAGAATTATTTATATAACAAAGGAACTGCTGCGCATCAAAAATAATTATGGATGCTCTTTGTTTTGATTAGACATCATGGGTGGTTGTCATAATAGACAAGACGTGGCTGGCTAGACTCATAGGAAGAGGAAGTCAGTCACATCAGGGCCACTGAGCATACAGTACAGCTGTCTGTTTAGTATCAGTGACACTGGTGAAGACTTCAAGAGCGACTGTTGTGTGTCCAGGATTATGGCAAATCGTTGCACATGGCTAGAGAACTTGAATGTCTGGGCACTGGTGTTTAGAGGTTAGACTTGTCTCACTGGGCTACTAAGATGATGTTGAGGGAATATGTAAAGCAAGGGGTTGGAAAAGACATCCCAAGGCCACTCTACTGCTCGGCAATCTCAGCAAGATTGGAGTTGGAGGAGGGAGGTGTGGATGATTGGAGATGGTTTGAAATGGTTAGAGGGCTCAGGGTGGAACCCTGAGGGACATCGCTTGAGACAGGACTTGGGAGGGTCAGGGTTTCTGGGGCAGACTTTTTGCGGAGTCTGTCCTTAGGGACAGAGAGGGACTCAGGTGCATCAGTGCACATGGGAGTAGAGGGAGCACTGGCAGGGCCAGTGAGGGCACAGGAGGACAGGGGTGTCTCGCTGATGGAGATTGAGGGGGGGAACATCCCAATCTTCTGGTTGGTGGCCTCCTGGATGGTGCGCTCGAACTCTCTCACTTCATCCATCGTCATGTCTGGATTAGAAAAGGATCAGTTAAGACCAGTGAGAGGAAGAATTAGGAAATTAGGTATGATTTTATGTTTTAATCCTGTGCAAACAATTGATAAGAAAAAATGGATTTTAATAAATGCATACCCAGAGACGTACACATCATCATCAGTACAATGCCGAAAAGAACACACACTCAAACATCCAAAACAAGTAATGTTTTGGCATTCACACTGTGTTATTTCAATACCCAGCACATTGCTAGTGTTCACTTATGTAGCCTTATGTTTCCTAGATAACCTTTCTATTCTTCAGGGTTTAGTTATATGCAGCTGTGACAGCTTCATAGATACAGTAAGTCACCATCGGTTCAAATATCAAACATAAGAGGGGCAATGAAGTAAAGAGACAATAAAAAAAAGACACATACACTTGCTTTGTCATGGATCTCTATGTCATCCAGTGAAGATGAGTTTGTTCTGGAATGTTCTTGCTGCTCATGGCAAACTTTAAAATTGGTTTTCACATGCATTTGTCTCTCATAATTCCGCACATCATCCAAAGTCATATCTGTAAGAAGGGGGAGGAATGGAATGAAGGATGAAATGTTGATACAGTAAGCCCTCTAAAATGGCACTCCAGCTGAGAGGCAGGGAGAGAGTTAGGTGGCAAAGGTGCATTCCGCAGGTGAGAGTAGAGTTTTAACAGCTTATTAAAGCTTTTTTCTAATTGAAGTTCTAGAGGTTAAAGTGCTAAGTTCCCATTACCAAAAGAGTTTACAGGAAACAAGCAAACACACCAAGGGTGGGGGGTGAGGTCAAGAACATTTCAAGATTAAGGAAAAGCGTGAACAAGCCACTCCTAAGGAGAGGTTGGATCATTGGATGTGCAAGAAAGCAACACCTGCAGGGTTCACTCCCCTGGCAAAGTGTATTTCATATGTTTGAAAAACCTCCAGGCTGTAGCAGGGAATAAAAAGGTTAGTGGCTGTATAGAGGAGAGGATAATGTTCTATGGCAAACATAATGGATTTGCTATCTGTATATCCTAGAGGTACAAAAAGAGCTCAACAGCTAAGTGTAAGTAAACATGTTAGTCATTGATGTGTTTTTTTTATGTTTCAGTAAGTGAATTATTCTTCAATTATGTAAATGTTCAGTAATTTATTCATGTAATTGTTGCCAATTGGCTGGCAAGGTTTATATCACACACACAGGGTTGGTGAGAATACATTTTTTACTACTTTATATTTGGCTTTAATAGGAAAAATTGTGTGAAAACACTTAAAGCAGCCCAGTGTTTACATGCCAACAGTCTGGGCAGCACCAGGACAGTTCCCAGTGACCTGAGGCTCATTTGGCCTGCAATGAACAGTCAACTTGATCAGCAGTAATATAGGAAGCAGGCAGTTGACGGATCTCTCAGTCCACACATCAAGCATCAGACTTTCAGTCTTGCTGCAGTGTCAAACATGACGTTGCTGTGTCTCTCTGCGACAAGCAGAGCAACCATCTACCTGCTTCTCCATATAGTTTGCATGTCTTACATCTTCGTGGAGGAATTATATCATAGCAATGAATGCAACACAGCAGTCACCTGGCAATAAAGCTAATATGTTTCAACTAGTAAACCTTGACTATGGCCTTGCCAGCACTTGGTATAGATGTGTTTATTTTTGTGCTGTTTGCTTGTGGACACCAGTGAGTGAACACTGTAATCTAAAACATTTTACTTACTTATATTGCTGTATCTTATATTCAATTTCAGTGAATGTGTGTGAAGTCTTTTAATGCTTGAATATAAAAATCAACTGAACATTTAGCTAACTCTATTTCATTCTCTTTTAAAAAAAGTGTAGGTTAAGTGCTTTGTGCATCTGATCTTGTAAATGGATATGTCCTATGACTGGTTTATCCATAGAGAGAATCTGAGGGTTCCTCCAGACTCCTCCTTTAACCCAGCCTAAAAGCAGCAACAAAATACCTTGAAAACTCAGTATTCAGACAGGCTACTTGTTGGTCAGTCCTGAATTTTTGAACTTCCCTCAGATGAACATGGTGGCTAAATTTTAACCTAATCTGATATCTGTTACATCAGTAAATAGGATTAGTCTACAAAATACGTGGTCAAGTGGTTTGTATGAATAGGTTGACCTGGGATAGAGTAAAATTCCTGGTCTGAATTCTTGTTTCTGTCCACCCCTGACAGTGTATACTCTTACAGTGTTTGTTATTAGTGGGTTAGTGGGATTACCAAGAAGAGCCATGCCATAACAGGAGTTACATGCAGGTGATAAACAGTCATCACACAAGAGTGCTAACATTTTAAATAATAAAGTCATAGTAACATAACACTTCATGAGTTCATAAAATTATGAGGCACCATACTCATTTATATTAGAAAGTAAATGCCACTGTGTAAGTAAATAGTGAAAGACTGAAATATTGAAATGTGCCTGTAGCTGTGAATTAGCTGGAGTGTGTAGACAGACGACGGCTGGTAGACCTACCAATCCATTCATCCACCCAGGCAAATGCCTGTCTGTGTCCCAGCAGCAGCACGTCCCGAACCACCTATAACATAACATGACACAGCATGGTCAGAAAATCAATATCTTTTAATTTTTTTTTATTATTCATTCAGTGTTATTATGTTTAAAAGCCAAATATTCAAGAATCATACTGTAATATTTTCAGAATTTTAAGTGGAATTCAAGTTCTAACCAGCTACCACAGACACAACATGTGTATGTAACAACATACATTAAACAGTGAAGTGATAACATTTAATATAAATTTTAAAAAGTGTAACAAACACCCATTTTCAAAGGTTGCATAATCTGATTGCCAACCAAGAAACAACTCAAACACGATGAACTAGTCACACACTCTGATTGCCTGTGACCACTGCTTGATACAGATATATGCTTTATTTATTATTATGACAATTGTCTGTTCCATGAAACTGTGTATAACAAGTGCTTTTTAAAGCAAGAAAAGCAGCCATAACAATAACTCCAGTCAGCTGAAAAAGGTAGTTTATCGATTTTTATGTCTGGCAACCAATAGGTCAGGTAGCATTTAAAATATTGAAGACCTATTTAATAAGACAAAAACATACGTTTTGTATGTGTTGCTTGTCTTGCCTTTATTTTGTACTCTTGCTGTTCCCTTGCTCTGGTTATTTGTTACTTACCCAGTCTGGCTGTCAGCATTGTAGCACTTTCCTTTGTTTGCCACATTATCATGTGCTTGTCAGTTGTCTACGTGTCTTGTTGTTTGTTCTCTAGCCAGTCTTATAGACTTGTTTCTAGTCGTCACATTCTCACATTAGTTTCTTCCTGTGTTACTGTGTGCCCCAAGATTGCCTTAGTTCCTGTTAATTTTGTTTAGTCTTCAGTCACAAGCCCCATTTTTTACCTCACTCTTGGCTTATTATTATTATCATCATCCATTCTATCTTCAGTGTGAGACTCGCATAAGATCCATCCATCCATTATCTACACCACCTATCCTAACAAGGGTCACAGGGGGGCTGGAGCCTGTCCCAGCTGACATTGGGCGAGAGGCGGGGTACACCCTGGACGGGACGGCAGTGTATCACAGGGCTGACATGTAGACGAACAACCATACACACTCACACGCACTCTTGCCAGCATGTTCTTGTTTGGAGTCTGCATTTGATTCCTATATTCTAAGCCCTCACAAAATAGGCTCAGGACTGAGTATTACAAACAAGTTAAGAAAGTCTTAAAGCATTGAAAGGGAAAAACATTGTTGGTTTAGTGGTTTATGGGATCTGATGACAATATAGTAGGACAGATGAATGAATCTATTGCTTCCACTTAAAACCATTAAAACCTGTGAGGAAGTTCAACTCTGACTAAACCATAAGGTGCCAGAGTTCATCCCATGGGTGCCCTCTCACCTTGTGTATAAACTGTTCCACTCGAGTCTGCAGACCCCACACCTCAAATTTGACAGTGACCAGCTTGTACGAGCACATGATGGGATCCTGGGTGTCCCTCCAGCCTTCCTGAAGCATTCCTCGTGACGTCTTCTCCGACTTGAAATATCGCAAGTCCTGCAATGCACACAAGTTTAATATTACAATAATGAATCCAAACCTTCAGGCATGATTGTTTCTGCACCCCTGTGGAAATACAGCAGACTTGAGGGAGGGCCTAAAATTAGACGCAAGGCTGAGCACCATTTAAATACCATTCACATTAACCTCTCTGGTCCTTGAGGAGCCTCTATCCAGGCTCATTAGAGCTGAGACAATCTGTTATTAAACAGATATGAAGACAGCTACCAGCTTACTTCACAGACTTTGAAACAGGACAAGGCTTTCAGACTCTAGATGAATGCTGGGTAGAGGGGTGAGGCATATAAAGCAGCAAGTGCAGCTGCTAGACAAGTGGGACTGAGGTTTCTTAAGTCCCCACAGTCTGCATTAAAGCAAGCTTTTAACAAATAATACCAAGTATATTATTTTCCTTGTGAAGATTCTAATAGGGATAGAGAAATGCTATCACTGGAAAATGACTAGATGTAAAACAGAAATAAGTTCACATGACAAACTGAAAACATACTGTTACATCTGGAACACCTGGTTTTACTTCTGCATCTCCACATTCAGCAGTGCAGTTATCTCTACCTCTCTGGTAGTATTAATTCACAGTAGTCACAAGCATCTACACAAACTCACTCATACACAAGCCCACCTCAGAATCTTTGTAGTAACGCTCTGGGATGTCGTCGTAGGCGATGTCGATGAAGCACACCTCCCTTTCCTGATCCTTCAGCTCAGTGTCAAAAATCTGAAAACACAACAGATGGGTTTGCCAGTGCTCACTCCAGCCTCTGCCTGCCAATCAGAGTAGCCTCCTCACACAAAAATACACCTTGGAAATGTGTCTTTTCCAGGTTACATCATCAGATATGTGGTCATAGCTATGAAACCTACTGTTACTAATGCTTGACACTGCATATTGTCACTATGTCCACTCACTCAAAAAAGCCACTATGAAACACAATATTGTAATTCATTATAAAACCATTAGGGGGTGATCTAGACCTATGTCTTCAATTTGTTACTGTACCATGAGACGGTGTTGATTGCAGGTATTGTAATATATTGACAAATCAGAATATCAGCTTAATATTAACTCGTGGCCCAAAATCCATGAAATCCATTCTGGGGACCGGAAGTCACTTATGGGGAAGCTGGTCCCCACAACGTAGTTTGTCAAATTTTACAAAAACAATGACGTGTAAGGTTAGCTCAAGTATCGGCTTTGGTTACGTGTTAGGGTAAGGGTTAAGGTTAGGCAAGTAGCAGTTCTGGTTAAGGTTAGGGTAAGTCTCCTGGAAATAAATGTAAATCTATATAGGGACCCAGTAAGTGACAAAAACAAGGATATGTATGTGTGTGTGTGAATTTAGAGCGAAGTTAGATGCCACAGACTTCATTAAGGGATTTATCTTTCATTTAACTAATGGCTGCTGCAGGAAAATTGAAATAAGAGAAACAAATCATAAGAAAGAGAAACATACACATACTGCTTCAGTTGATGCTTAAGAAATTTTCAGAACAAAAATGTTGCTCTCCAAGTGCAAGCCCATGCCAGACATTATACTTTGACACATTAGAGTCCAAATACTAGCGTGTAAACAATTTTATTTCAATTTCTCGTCATACGTGTCTGTGACTGAGATGAGGTGAAGTTTGAATTCTCCGAACTTCTGCACTGAGTACTCATTAAATTGTACATCTTCACATCTTAAGCTCTTCTTCATGTCTAATCAGCTGAAGAGTTGGGGGGGGGGGTTCACCAACAACTGTGTGAAATGTACGGTCACTTGCTTCACTCCTCTCAAAATTCATTATTTCCTGATTTGTAAATTAATTCCTGAGTAGGCAGGAGCAGCATTTAAGTGGCTGATGGTTGAAATCAGTTTAAGTAATAATGAGACTCTACACTGTGTCATTCTCTTCTTTTCTGCAGCCTTGCAGTCTGATTGTGGGTGTTACAGACAAGTGTTATTTTACAAAAGCGCCTTGACTAATGCAGCCACTGATTTATTATTTATCACATTAACTGTCTTTACATGCCTTCCCATCTTTTTTGGAGTTTTGCCACTGAACCAAATGTAAACATTCTGTAGATAGTGTATAAACCTGTTTCTTTCTCTCTCCCTACTTTTCTTCTCTTCCCCTCCCATGGTGCATTGTGTGTTTTGCAGTGTGTATGAGCACTGCTGGCACAATAAGGGTGATATGTCAGCATGCATGAGTGCAGCCAAATGAGTGGAAGGGAGACTGGGATAAAGAGAGAAGGAGAGAGGCTGAACTGGATAAGTGGAGAAATGGAAGAGGGAAACAATGAAAAAGTAATGGGGGGAGGGCCGGTTGGAGAGGAAGGCATGAATAGGATGGAAAGTGCGGAGAAGAGTGGAAAAAGAGGCAGAAAAAGTGGAAAAGGATTGCGACACTGTCAGGGAGAAGGAAGAGGAGGAGGGAAGAACAGGGAGGAAAGCCAGTGAGAGAGAAACAGGGGTTTGTGAATTCAGAGAGTAGAAGTAAATGGAAGTAACAATTAAGAGGGTGAAACTAAGACATAGGGAGAAAAAGAGAAGGGAAAAACAAGTCAGACAAAGGGAAGACAACACACCGGCACCCCATGACTAATAAAAGTACTCCCCAGGACATTTAGCATCATTTTGAAAATGCCAGACCCCCAACACACAACAACACACAAAAGACATTCCTACACTCCTTTACCTTTTACACACTAACTCTACCTCTCACAAGATAAAAAATATACCACCTGTCATAAGATCAGAGCTAAGGTAACTTCAGATGAAGCATCCTGAAGCTCTGCTGTTTATACCTAGTGTTGTACTGCCTCCCAGTTCAGTGCTATACTGTATGTTAACATTATGCACTATTTTTGTGTCTATGGCGGCATTTATTTTTACACATCATCTCATCAGTGTGTGAACACGCAACAAATTCAGAACACATGGAGACAGCATGTGGTCATTTCAGTACAAAGGGTACTTGTCCTAAACTGCTCTACAGCCAGGGCCTTTGAAGGCCGATCGTAATCACTGAGTAAATACAAAATTGGAGTTGACTGCACTTCATTATCTTCAAGAGTATATACACACAAAACAGACAGCTCACATTTCTGACATGAGCAAGAGATAATGGTTAACTGAATGTAATGAGGTAGAGAATATTTTCAAAGATATCAGTGCATACAATTGGTGTTAGCATGTGTGTCACAGCACTGTGAATTCACAAATTATTTTAATTTCTGTCTACCCTACAAAAGGAATGTAGTATTTTCTGTAGTATTTCCATGGAAAATCACTTTGCAGTGAATTCCAGGGACAGTCACACTAGACGATGTACCTGTGCAGGTCTAAGCCTTTGCCAACCTTTGGAAAGGAATGCAGGACATTTTAGCTCTCCAAAGGGAACAAGGGTTTTCAATTTATAGATGCGAGTTTTGAGAAAAACTGAAAAAGTGGCGTTAAAGAGTTAAAAAAGTAAGAGAACTGCAAAAGGAAAAAAACAAAGACAGTAACAGATGTGCTTTCTTATCCTGTCTGCTGCATTGTTTAGGGGCCTTTGAAGGGAGAGCAACATGTTTTTCAGCACAGACATTAAGGCTTAATGTGTAAGTGTGTGTGAGAGTCTGAGATAATGTGCTCACTTATGTGTTTTTTTGTGGGTGTGAGCGTGTGTACATGTCTAAAAGGTTGGGTGGACTAACACTTGGTTTCAGGGTTCAGGTTACAATTAGCCTTAGGATAAAGGCTGGGGTTAAGCACTTTGTTGTGATGGTTAAGATTTGGGCAAGGGGCCAAGGAATGCATCAGGTCAATGAGTGTCCTCACAGCTATGAAAAGGCAAGCGTGTGTGTGTGTGTGTCTGATATTGGCTAGTGTTGTGGAAATCTGCATGTGATGTACTGTCACCACACCCTCCATAGTGTCCTCTCATACAACCACTCATTTCCTGTCCAAACAGCCACAATTGTCCTCCTGCATTTGCACCATTGCTTCTGTTGCCTCTCTTCCTTCCTTCCTCCACCTCTAGTGTACTGCTCCCTGAGCTTCTCTTTGTTTTACGACACCCTGAGTAGACAGATGTATTATATGCCAGCAGAAACCCCATTTGGGGAGCCATGACACTTGTTAGAGCATTTGTTGCATAAAATATTCACAACTAAGCAGCCCACAGCTGCATTCATATTATTTCACAACATTTCCTTTATAGCAAATACACACAACACTGGTTAAACATCATCATAAAACATGCAAGATCTCTTGTTGTTTGCCCTAAAGATGTTGCACAAAGTAGTACAGCTGTAAACACTGAATCACTGACCGAGTGAATGACAATGAGATCTATGTCCCACTCTTGTATCTCTGCTCATATCCACGAGCATCTCAAAATATCTGGTATGCAAACACAATCACACGCACACAAACATATTTACGTGACACATCTGTGAGTTTTTCAGTTCTTTTTTTATCCACAGTATGAAATGTATTTTCTCAAGGCAATTTTAGTTTAAATTTAATAGAAGTTTTTGATCTGTTGTCTTGTCATGTCAAACCAAGTGAGCGTCAGTCAAAAGCATCACTAAATGCTTAGTGCACACTGACAGTCTGTTGATTTCTGTCTCCCTCTGCACTTTAAGTACATGTAAATACTCTGAAACACATCATCAAGACACTTTTATTCCCATGCAATCACCAAATCACATTATGAAGCACGATATGCACTATTAAATTAACCTGTTGGCCACCCCCCATGCTATATTTTAACCAATTTGTCTGTTGCACACCACCCCACTATTCTTTATCCTCACTGTCCAGGATGTGGCAGCCTTTCATTTGATGACTAATGCCTCCATAAATTGGACAGTGGAATAAAATATAAAGAGAAGGGAAGTGAGTAGGCTAACAGCCCAAATGAAATTAGCTGTCCAACAAGTGGAACCGTTTTTGGCAGACTGTCAAGGCTTATGTACAGTATAGTTGGCAATATGATACGACTGTGAATAGCACCACACACTATGAATTGCCAGGTCTGCCTGGATGTTTTTACTCATGTACCCTTTGCAGAGGTCTCACATTCTACCATATGTCCACTATGTGATTATTGTGTTTAAATTGGCCTATTTTGCTGTACATATTTTTGTATCAGAAGGACAGGCGACAGGCAGCAGTGTTACATTAAGCTGAGAGATCTGTGTAGGAGATAGAGCCCGACTAATTAAATGACTGTGCCTATGGGCTGACATAAGCTTAATATCAGTAGTGGTGCATATGCCTGCTGATAGGGAACAATAAACTGCAATACAGAAACAGCAAGTATATGCTTGAGATATAATGACAAGCACATTTTTCAACTGTAAAATGTCCCACTCAGTCACAATAAGAAAAATACAAGAGATTCTTATCAAAGTACTTGTATACGTTATATGGTTGGAGAAAAAAAAAATTACATCCACTGGTATATTGTTATACCAGTTGTTATATCCAAACCTTAACACTAAACCTAATTCTAATGTGAACCCTAAAACCAAGTCTTGATCCTCAAACAGGTGTGAAGATATGAGCTAAAACCAAGTCTTGACCCTCAAACAGGTGTGAAGATATGAATAACATCTTAACTATGTCAAAATGCCCTCATAATAATGATATAAAAAAAAAAAACTTTGTCAACACAAAATAACAAAAACGTGGACACACACACAGTGTACTCACATTGTCATTGCATCCTTTGTTGTCTTCATATTTTGTCTCTATGTGGATGGAAAACTTGGGCAGGAATGAGCACTGTGAGTAAAGAACAAAAAAATGATATGAAACCACTTAAATAAAAAAAGAAACCAGTGTGTTAAACATCATCATTACTCTAGTTTGTGGGATACAGCTGTCAAAAAAGGCCACTGCAGTAGTTAATGCTAACTTTTTCAGTGGTACTGTGTAAAAGTAGCCTGCCAAAGTGCTTTTATTAACGCTGACTGTTAAAACCGCTGTTGGATCTTCCGTCTCCCTCTTCCTATGTTCTTCACTGTGTAATGTCAAACAGCAATCCAGGCTGTGAGAGTACTGCATTTCCATTTTTATTCCCCTGTCAAAAGTGACAAAAGCCAAGACAGTTCTTCAAGAATTTGTGTTTTTTCTCCCTTAAAAACTGAACTTGACAACTGAACTTGACACGAGTATTTAAAATTACTCATCCCGTACATGAACAAAAAAGGCACCCACACATAAAGAGAGACAATATTAAGCATTCTGTTTTTGTCAAAACATTGTCCTCATTCCCAATACCCCGCACCCTAAAGCAACGTGACTCATGTTGTTGACATTTTCACTGTGCACAACAGAAGCCCTATAGCTAAGCCTAATTGTATCCCTGTGTCTTGAAAATGTGACAGCTTGTTCTGCCAAAGCTTCATGTGTTTCAAGGGTTAATCATGGGTTACATAGGCAGTTGCTCTTATTAGCAAAGACAAAGAAAGGCAAAGGCAAATCCAACAGCAAAGAAGTGTTGAAGGCATAGATTGAATTGTTTTGATCGTTGCAGGTTTTCTAACAAACATAATTCCTTTGTGAAGAAATTCTGTAGCAGCAAGATAACGGAGGCTATAAAAACAGCAGCATAAATTCATTCTATGAACAGACATTCCCCCATTGCTCCATAGAGCATTTTAGCATCTTTTAGCACACTGTTGTGGTTTTACAGACCACAACTGTTTTCAGCAAAAAAGCTCTAATAAATCAGCTGTATGCCACTTGCCCAATCCTAACCGCAGCGAGACAACATCAGCAACTTGCTAAACATATTCGAATGTTTACCAAATAAAGAATCTTATATTTTTTTCTCAGGAGTCAATGAAAACCAAAACAAAGCTAAAAGAAGAGCTAACACTAGGCTTAGATTTCGGAAGGAAGAAACCTGACTCCAGATGGATGCTAATGTTGCTCTACTGGACGTGCAAATGGATAACTGGTTGATAGCATGATCACCAAAACAACTTTAAAATGTGTTTTTTTTTTTATATTGTGACCTTGATCTGCCACCCCCCAAGTGTCCAAAACAAAAAAGAAAAGAAAACTACTTTACACATAAAACAATATTCAATTCTTGTAAGACTGTGTCCAGAATCACACAATCAAATTTACTACAGTACCTTGTACTTTATGCACATACTGTATAGTACCCTCAAAAATTCCCACAATGGAAAAGAGAACATTTAGTGTCTATAGCTTGCAAAATACCAAACTTTTACAATGTAAGCACTGACTGTTAAAATGAAATGAGGGGGCAACATTCTTATTTTTCTTCATATGTCATCATACCAACTTTCTTGGTCTTGGTCCCCTTTGGTGTTTTGCATTTAGTATGATCACTGCAACACTATGAGATAATCCTAAAGACATGCAACAAAGTAAAATATGCTTAAACGATACTTACTGTGTATTCTATCGAACAAGGCGTGGGGTCACACAGACATCAGGTCAGAGCAGAGCGAGAACACAACAGAGACACAGTTAGTTCAACAGCCTGCTCATATTTTGCACAGTATGGAAGGAAAGAAGAAGCAACAATCAGCAGAAATGAAAATGTGTGAGACATACAGAACCTGTTCATATATAGGCTAATATTGACTGTCGCATGTCTGATACTTTAGCTTCTCTTTTCCCTAGTTTATTCTCATTAAAAATAAACTCCCCCAGTTTGTAACACATCTCTCTTTGATAAGGATCATTAAGGCATCACAGAAACACTGCGTGTCTGACTGTTGCGCTCCTGACTTCTGCTTGCCTTTAATGATGATGATTTAAGAAGAGAAGCTTATTTCCACTGCTACAATTATTGTAAGTCAATATGGATAAAAACCATTTGCTTCAATGCAAAACCACAAACATGCATCTGCAATATGTGTCTGCTTTAACATGTTCATTCATGCTTTTCTCAAAGCATGTTTTCCTTGCAACCTCACACAGTGACAAGCAAAGCTGCAGTGGTATGACCGACACTGATCAGTGTGTCATCATCACAGGTGAACTGAGATTTTTATACTGTAGTTTTTCCACCAGTACTGGAGCCAAGAGATGTTAAAGCTGCATCAGTTTGATTAGTCCAGCAAACACATTTATCATGTATTCTCACCTGTGATGGTGTAAGGGTAGTAGTTCCATGCTTTCTCTGTCACATAGAAGATTCTAGGAACCACTGCTCGAGCCCAGCTAGGTAATTTACTGCAGAAAGACATTGAGATAGACAGAGACAGATGAGGAGAGACATCGTCAGCAGGTAGCTGCAAAGCAGGGAAGGGGGTGAAATAGCTTATTGCAGTAATCATCAAAAACGTGTTTCACTTGCCAAAGGAAAATCTGCTCACAGTAGTGAAGACTGAAACTGAGTAATGGTGAGAAAAGAGCTTTAAAAATCTTTAATTCAGGGATGATGCTGTAAGCACCCAAACCCACCTTTTTCTGCACATACTGTAAGATTGCTGTACCTCCATGGCATCTAAAGACATTTAAAGACTGCCAGCCTAGAACTACAGAACACACATCAACATAAGGATGCAGCTCTTATAATCATGTTTTGTACATCTACAGTAGGTATTTTATTCTGAATATTTAGTTGAGAGGCATGCTCTCTTTTTGGGAACATCCTAATCAGGTACAGTTAGGTACGGTTAGATACAGTCACACCTAGTAGCTGCACAGTACAACCACAGTTTTCTCTGCTGGCCGCTGAGCAACTTCACTGGAACAGCAGGCAAGTCCTGCTCTTTCAATTTGCCCCTCCTCAACTGTGTTTTGCATTAATCTGATAGTAGTAACATGCAAGACATTTTACATTCAGGCCTATAAAACACGAAGATTTGCTGCTTTTCTTTGTTATGTAATATAATACACTGACTATCATTGGGGACTGTGTGGACAAAACCAGCAACTTGAAAACATCACCCTGAGCTTTTATTTATTCATTCATTCTGAGTAAACTATACATCAATTAAGGAAATAACCACCGGGCTAATCAGTAAAGAAAATAATCAGATTTTTGGGAAGTTCACTTATGTGCTTTCTTTCCAAGAGTTTGATTAAAAGATACCACTCAGCTTCAATATGAAGCTGCAGTCAGCAGGTGGGTGGGTTTAGCTTAGCAAAAACACTGGAAACAGGGAGAAGCAGCTGGTTCTGTCCAACAGTAACAAAATTCTCACCAATTAACTTGCTATATTTTGTTTACTTAGTCCAAATAAAATTATGTAAAATGTTCAAAATTAAGTGTAAAATGGTTTTATAGGGGTGACACAGAGCCAGTTTTGGCTCATCTACCACATGCTTACAGCTTATGAACATACAGTACACTGCCAAATTGCGCTCAGGGCACAAGTTGTGTGGGTGTGCATACCCAGTGTTCTCTGAACTTGAACTCTGAACTAACTGAAGCTGCACTAAGAACTTAGTGTCAAACACAGAAGTGTACAGGCTTTATCCAGCCTTTATCCAACTCCTTTGATTGACATGAAAACAATTTCTTGGGGAGTACAAAAATGGCGCCCACTGCATCGTGATGGCTGTGAATAGAAACAGCCTTCGACGGTCACATTGTGTGAATGTTGGCAGGCTCGCTCACTCTCTCTCTCCCCCAACAAAAGAGACTGACACTCCTCCTACACCTCCATCTGTTGATTTCTCCCATTCCCTCCTTGTTCTTTTAAATATCTTTGCCAATAGCTGCTGCGATGGAGCCCACATTGCCAAGTGTGCAAGCGTGGTGGGTGGCTGTTCAGTTTTCATGCCAAAGCTGTCGTTTGTATTTAGAAAAAGCAAAAAAACATGCTTGTTTAGTTGAACACATCCAAGGAAAGGCAACACTTTGTTCTCACCATCGCATACTTACAGACCTTACAAGTGACACTTACTGACCCCTCTCTGCACTTAATGAGGGTTATTCGTGGAACAAGCGTCGAGTCCAAGTTCCGATTGGATGAGATCAGGCCAAACAGTGAAGTACAGCATGAGGCAGATTTTAAGGGGTAATAGGAGGTTAAAGTGTGACAGGATGAGTCCAGAAAGACTTCCCTGCTGATGAATCAGAGCTAAATATTTAGTTGTTGCAGAGCCAGATTTATGACAAGTTGAAAGGGATAGAAAAGTAGTTAGTTTAATATTTAATATTATCTAACTTGCTTTGACATTACTCAGGAATAAGGTCGGTCATTTTCTATATTAACAGTATGTTCAACATTCCCCATACAGAGATTAAAATAAACAATAAATTGCCTCTACTCTCAGTTAATGTCTGTCAGTGTATCAGTCCTGAACCAGCTTGTTTGTCTGTGCCACATATCTACTGTATGTTGTTTTTCAAAATAGCAGGGCTCCAGACTAACATTTCATACTGGTGGCACTGGTGCCACCAATTCTCTCAGATGGTTGCACCACCTCTGTTTTGCAGTCATGTAAAAAAATTATTTTAAATACCCTTATCACTCAATGTGCATGACCAATATTTATAATAAAATTCAGAGGGAGACTTATGGAACTCAACAAATGGGAAAGTCACTTCTGAAACAAGTATCCACCCACAGGCATCCTTAGACCCCTTTTACTAGGGCACGTACTCCAGTATTGATCTGCTGTGCCCCAGTAAAATCACAGGATCAAGCTCTAACCAGCTCCTATATTTGGCAGCGGATTCACTGATATTGATAATAACAGGAAAAGAAATCATTCGTTGTTCTAATTCAGAGTAGCTCATGCACTGCACCTCGCATGCAGCAATCCATGTAATAGGGTGCACAAAACAAAGGAATGGACTGAGATACTGTATGTAACAGAGAGAAATAAACATTTTATCTGAACTAAATATCAGCTATTCTAGAAAGGTCTGTAATTTAATACAACACTCCTATTTCATTTTCAATGCAGAGAAAACTGCATGAAAATACATGAATGGGAGCCCAACTTATCTCTGTTTGCTCCCTCTGCCTTATTTCTTCCTCAGCTGTGTTGGCTCTACAAAATTAGCTCCCCACCATAGTGAAGGCTGACATACAGTAGGTATCTGTGCTCAAACAACAAGCCTACTGCATCTCTACACCCTTATTTTCTTCTTTGTCTCCCACTGCCATTTTCTTTTTCATTTTTTTCCATTCATTGCATTTTTTGTCATCCCCTCTTTGATTCATACATGTCTATCGAAACAGCGTGTGGAAGGGTCACATGCATCGACATGCTAACGTATTAGTCCACAATGATGCTCACACTCTTGCAGTACGATACAGTACATCAGTATGGTGTCATGTACTGTATAACTGTAATGGGTAAGTGAAACCTGCTACCAACACCTTGCAGTAGGCAGCATGTGTGGATCTGTGTGAACAGTCTCATCAAATGACTGAATGTAATCTCAGCTAACTGATGTACAGATATTCACTGCACTTTATACTCCCTGTCTTTTGGCTAAGGTCAATTTGAGCGGAGGTCTTTGAGTGAGTGAGTCCAGAAATAGCAGATCTAGTCCCAGGTGGCAACAAATACTGTATCAAAATATAACAAAATGCAAAGTACTAGTTATTACTAAGCTCACTGCTGTGATGTTTCTAGAAATACCCTGTCTATCAACAAGTTTGGGTGATTTTGTGATGCCTTTAATCCTGAATTTATTGTTAGCAAAGTTAGCACTTCTCTGGG